GGCCCACCCAGCACTGGCAGCATTCCAGCTGTCCTCCCCCTCCCCCTTTATACACAGTGTGGCCCTGGCCCTTGGTTCTCTCCAGATTTTCTGGGCTCTGCAGTCACCCTCGCCACCTTCTTCCTCCCCTTTATTAGGTGAAGCACTGTCCCCCACACCTGGTCTTCTGTCATCTCCCCTCAAACCTTTGATAACGTGCTGCTTAGCCAAAGGTCTCTAAAGTCACCAATGAAAGAGCACCAGAGAATGAGCTGAAGAATCAAGTCCCCATCCCTGACTGGTACCCCTCCCTATGTCTTACAATTTCTTCCCTGGTTCCGTAACTTCTGGGACTCTGACATCCTTTTCAGCTTCCCAACAGAAACATGGCCCTCAGATTTCGCCACAGCCATCTTTCACCAAGCTGTGTCACCTCTGGTCAGTTACCCAGCTTTTCTACTCTAAGCTTCACTCTATCAGACACAGGGATATATTGAGCATCAATAAAGTGTCTTTCACAGACTCTTTGTTCTCCTCATGTAATTGTGACATTCCCACAACCTAAACACCGGCTCTGTCTCACAGCACTTCCTCCTGGGCCTAGTCAAGACTGACCCAGTGTCTAAATTTAGTAGCACATTAGTAGTATCACTAAACTTGTGCAGTGAAAACTTTGTTAGAACTCTAAAGCAAAACCAAATGCAGTTCAGGGGTAGAGACTGTTCACACTTCCCTTGGTAGACCAGATGTCCATAAAGGAGATGGGCAGTAAAATATAGTCAGAAAAGACTATGCTGGTATCTTTAAACCAGAGTCTCTCTAATTCTTGCCCTGGCATTCCTTCATGGGGTTTCAGCCCCAACTTCTAGGAAAGTTGCTAGACATAGTTCAGTAAACAAAATAAACAAAAATCCTTGCCCTCAGGAGCTTACATGCTAGTGTGGGGCACAGACAATAAACAAATAACTAACATATATAGGCCAAGTGGTGACAGGCACCAGGGAGAAAATTCAGGCAGGGAAGGGAGATTAGAAGTGACAGGAACAGGGTTGAAATTTGTAATACAATAGCCAGAAAAGACCACCCTGAGAAGGTGAGCCAAGACTTAAAGAAGACTTCAGTTCCTTCTTTGTAACACAGAGATGATAATAATTGTATTGACCCCCAATGATTTGCTGTGAGGGTCAAATAAGTTAATACATATAAACACTTAGATTATTATCTGGTTCATTGTAAGTGCTTAATAAATATTAGCTATTGTTATAATCATTACTTTAAGACATCGTTTTTTAAGGTTTTGGTGTTTTTCAAGCATCCAGTTTAGTCTGTGTTGGAAATTGAATGACAAGTGTGGTATGTATGTCATTATATGCCTTCAAAAAACCATAACAGAGACATCACTAATTGATTACTGTGCTCTTTCTTCCTGAGCCAGGGACCTTCCTAACATAGTCTTCTAGGTAGTCGGCATCAAATGACTGAAACTGGCAGGTGAAAAGAAATGGATGTGCTAGCCCTTGATGATACTGCGTTTAGGGACAGATTCATCTTTTTAATTCCCCCCACTATTCTTACCCATTTATTGTGTGACACTAATTTCTTCCATCACTGAGAGCTATGGTGAGTGGTGAGTGGTAAAGAAAAAAATAATTCTCAGTCTACCATTGAAATTACGTAAGACCATACACACCACACTACATTATTGTCTAATGATTACATGCTAGTTCTTTAGGGACTACCCAGTAAAAAAATCTTAACTTCCTGCTTCCTTGATGTGACACTAGGTCTGAGTTCTTGTTATGGGAGGTGTGACAAAGGATTGGATGTTTCTTAGGAAAGAAAGCGGCTTTCACAGACTCCTTGTTCTCCTCATGTAATTGTGACATTCCCACAACCTAAACACCGGCTCTGTCTCACAGCACTTCCTCCTGGGCCTAGTCAAGACTGACCCAGTGTCTAAATTTAGTAGCACATTAGTAGTATCACTAAACCTGTGCAGTGAAAACGTTGTTAGAACTCTAAAGCAAAACCAAATGCAGTTCAGGGGTAGAGACTGTTCACACTTCCCTTGGTAGACCAGATATCCATAAAGGAGATGGGCAGTAAAATATAGCCAGAAAAGATTATGTTGGTATCTTTAAACCAGAGCCTCTCTAATTCTCCTGGCCCCAGCATTCTTTCATGGGGTTTCAGCCCCAACTTCTCATTTTTTTTAAATATCAAATTTTCAGAAAAAGTCGACTGACAAATAAATACTCTTTTTCCCTTTACTAAAAACATAACCTTTTTTTCTGAAACACTGGAGAGTAGGTTGCAAACACAAGGTCACTTTCATCCCTAAATACTTTACCTGCAACTATGAAAAGAAGGACATTCCCTTATGTAATCACAATTCCATCCTCTTACCAAAGAAATTTAACATGGACAGCATGTTATCGAATAGACAGTCCTTATTCAAATCGTCCCAGTTGTCTCCAATACATCTTTGTATCCTTTTTTAAAAGTTATTATCTTGTATCCAGTCAAAATTTACACACTGCATTTGATGTTTAATTTTTTTTTCTTTTTTTCCTTTATTGATTTTAGAGAAGAAGGGAGAGGGAGAGAGAAGTAGAAACACTGATGAGAGAGAACATCAATTGGCCACCTCCTTCATGCCCCCCACTGAGGATCTGGCCCACAACCTGGGCATGTGCCCTGACAAGGAATCGAACCAGCGACCTCTTGGTGCATGGGTCAATGCTCAATCACTAAGCCACACTGGCCAGGCAAATACATTTTTATCTAGAACTGTCACCCACCCTTTTTGTCTTTCATGACTGACATTTTTAAAGTCTTACAGACTATTCTCCACTCTCTATTTCCCTAACTACTTATTCATGGTGTAATCAGATTAACTGATTTTTTGGTAAGAAATATTGCTGAGGGATGTTGTGTCCTTCCTTCCTGCTATATCATATAAGGAGGCACAGAATATTAGTTTGTCCCATTATTTATGACTCGAAGTTTGATCATTTAGTTAAGGGGACGCCTTACAGTTCTCTCCAGTGCAGTTACATAATCTGCAAAGTGACACTGGGATTCTTTGCAAATATCCTGTAGCCAACAACCTTTCACCCATGGCTTCAGCATCCATTGATGATAATGAGTGAATTAATTATTAGGGGTCTTTTTGAAATGGTGGCTGTCCAATCCTGTCATTCCTTTTTCATTTGCTAGTTGGTATTCTCCTGTGAACATAAGCTGACACCTGGGTTTCTAACTGTCATAAATCACATTTAAAACAGCAACAGCCTTGGCTGGTGCAGCTCAGTGGCTAGAGCATTGGCCTGTACACGGAAGGGTCTTGGGTTTGATTCCCAGTTAAGGGCATGTACCTGGGTTGCAGATTTGATCCTGCATGCTGGAGGCAACCGATAGACATGTCTCTTTCACATCAGTATTTCTTTCTCCCTCCCACTCTCTAAACATCAATGGAAAAAATATTCTCAGGTAAGGATTAACATTAAAAAAACAACAAATCTCCCACTGAAGTCCAGTAGCAAACACATGTATGAGGTGGTCTCCACTCCCTTCTCCCACCCTTCTTTCTCTCCAGCTACTCCATTAATTTGTTCCCAGTTCTGTGGTAAGTGCTTTGTGTACATCGGGTCATTGAATTGCTCCCAACCATCTAGTAGGTAAACAGTCTCACTTTGCAGATGAGAAAACTGAAACTCAGAGAAGCAGCCCAAAGTCATCCAGTAAGTTACAGATTTGAACCCAGCCACATTTGACCGAAAGGCTATGTTCCTGTCTGGCCACATTCCTAAACCACTCTGTTATCTTTTCTTGTATGCATATATAACAGTTGCAGCAATAGTAATCCTAGATGTTGTTGATCCCTAGAGAATTCTTCATTCTTCCCCCTGAGCATTAGCACTGCACAATAAAAAGTCCACAGAGCCCTGGCCGGTTTGACTCAGCAGTTAGAGTGTCGACCTGCGGTCGAGAGAGACCTGGGTTCGGTTCCCACTAAGGGCATGTACCTCATTTGCGGTTTGTCCCCGGCCCTGGTTGGGTCGTGCGGGTGGCAGCCACTTGATGTGTCCCTTTCGCATCAATGTTTCTCTCTCTCTCTCTCTCCCTTTCTCTCTCTCTCTTTCTCTCTCTCTCTTTCTTCCTCTCTCTTCCTCCTACTCTATCTGAACAAAAAATGGAAAAAGTGTCCTTGGGTGAAGATAAAGAAAAAAATAATAATAATATAATAAAAAATAAAAAGTCCACAGAAATAGTACCAACATGGTGCCTAGGTGCTATACATCATTTTTATTTTCCCCTTTATACTTATCTGAATTTCCCAAGTTTTCTACTATGAACATGCATTGATGGTTTGGGCAAATGTCTAATTTTCACATTCAGAAAGGCTCTTCCTAGGAGTGGTCAGTCCCTTTCAGAGCCAGGGTGGACACAGGAGCACAGGGCTCACAGGATGGACACTGGGGCTCAAGCCTATGCTCTCTGAGTAGGGTGTGGGGAGCAGTGCCACCCCTAGTTGACAAAAACATCTAAATCTCTAACATTTATTTCCAGGCTTCTCCTTAGTGAGGGGGCTTTCAGAGAAGATGAGCAGGTCTGTGACCCACCTGTGATCACCAGTAATGGATCTGAATAAAGAGGACCCTTCCCTCGTTTGCTCTTTTCTGCTCATGGGAATTTTTTCTTAGCAGAAATTCACCTGAAACTCTAGGTCCATTTTTTCCTGGGGCACACAAGGAAAATAGCATGTCTAAATTACCCCAGTCCCCAGCCCTATTTCCTGGGAAAGAGGAGTTGTGGTGGGGACAGTATTATCAGAAAAGGATGAGATTCACAAGAGCCCCTGTCCAGCCAGGAGAGCGCTGGGCAGTCCTCACACCGAAAACAAGGGACCATGGACAGCTCCCAGCCTGTCTCCCTCTGCAAATCCAGGTAGGGACCCAGGAAAACAGAAAATGGGGCCAGCTGCTGTCCACACAAATATGAGCAAGGAAGAAGCGACCATGGCGGTGGACACATGTGGGGATAACTTCTCAGCTCCTCCCCCAGTGTCCTGAGCCCTCCTGCCCTCTTCAGCCCAGGCTCTGGAGGGGAGACACCCACAAAACACATCAACTCCTCAGAAAGGCCACCACCTGTTTCATCTCACCTTCCCCCTGACCTCCTCTCACCTGCTCCTTGTCATCCAAGTCCACGTACACTGCACCGCATGCTCTTGGTCCATCAAGACTTGCCCTTGTGTCCCTGTATCTGCCTGTGTGGTCCCCACCTGGGATGCCCTCTGCCCAACCTCACTGGCCATTTTACCACAAGGTCATCCCGACCTCCACAGGTGGACACAACGGGCCTCCTCTGACCTCCCCCTCCGACTCTCCTCCCTTGAACTGTGACATGTCCAGGAGCACCTACCTATGCTCGTGTTGTGTGTCCTATGGATCCCTGAGTCCCTGAAAGACAGGCAGGATGAGACTGGTTGTGCTTTTCAATGGCTCCATGGCTTCTACGTGAGGGCCTGGCACAGGAAAATGGTCGTAAGTGTTCGAAGAAAGTACGAAGGAAGGAAAAATAGATAAATGGGTGGACACTACTTCTGCTCCCAAGTAACTACTATGGACATGCTGAGGGCATGAAGAAATGGACATCTGCAGAGACTTCTAGGGTATATTGGTGCAAATTTTACATAAGGTATGTATAGGTTTTTCTCCTGAATGTATTTTTTTAACCTAAAATTCACATAACCTAAAATTCAACATTTTAGCCATTTTATCTTATTTATTTATTTATTTTTTTATCCTCACCCAAGGACATGTTTTCGTTTTTTGTTCAGATAGAGTGGGAGGGAGAGAGAAGAAGAGACAGAGAGAGAAACATCGATGTGAAAGGGACACATCAAGTGGTTGCCTCCCACATGACTCAACCAGGACCGGGGACAAACTGCAACTGAGGTACATGCCCTTAGCAGGAACCGAACCCAGGTCTCTCCAGACCGAAGGCCAAGGCTCTAACCGTTGAGCAAAACTGGCCAGAGCCATTTTAGCCATTTTAAATTGTGGGGCCAGGGGAATGAGGCCCATCCAGGCCTACCAGAGCTCTGTGCTACAGGAAAGACCCAAGGACATGGAGAGGGGTGTAGTGCTGTGTGTCCCCAGAATCAGGGTTCCCCTGGACACCAGGCCCTGTGAATGAGAAGGGATGGTGACTTGTCTATCCTGCCCCCTCTGCTCCCCTGACACAGACTTTCCTCTTGGCACGTCCGGTTCCTGGTACTCCTCCTCCCCTCACACACACTGCCCAGTGCTCCAGCCACACACACCACTCCATCCAGGGGCACCCGCAGTGTAACTTACTAGAGACAAACACAAACTAGTACACATTCCCGAAAATCTGACCTTGGTGACATCACATTAAAGAAGCAGGTAGGAATTCTTGGAGCAACAAAGACTGGGACTCACGGAGCTGGAACAAAGTATTAACATGCTACATGACCCATGTAAAATGTCTATGGATCGATGTTGATTAAACACTCAAAGCAGGACATGTGACTGCTGCACTTCCCCCCGTGTCCACCAGAGGGCGGCAGAGCCACTCCGCACCTGGACCCTCCCCAGGGAGCAGCTGACGCCCCCCCCAGCAGCACCCACAGCCCAGCAGGGTCTGACCCTCGCCAGCATCACTCAGTCCACAGTCCTCCTCCCTCTCCAGTCCGCCCACACTGGACTCTGTCAGCTCCTCCACCCAGCCAGGCGTCGGCTCACCTGGAAGCCCGCCCTCTGGAGGCAGCTCGGCCCCTGCACCCTCCGTCTTAGCCGGGCAAGCGCCCACTCAGGCCCACTCAACCTCGGTCGCAGCCGAAAGGACCTTTCCCCGGGGAGCCATATGAGATGCTCCCGCCACAGGAGGTACTGCCCTGCACATCCCTCTCGATGATCATTAATAGTCTCTTCCACCACAATTGCAGATGCCCGGCGGCTCCGAGCACAGGGGTCGCATCAGACCTGCTCTGTGGCTCCCCCAGGCCAGCCGCGCCCGCAGAGGAGATGCTCAAGGGGCTCACGGGCGAAGGAAATGGACAGGGAAGCGGAGCAGACGGACGGGGCCGGGAAGACACACGGCACTGGCACAGCGAGGGTTCTCCCTGCACCTGGTCCTGGACCCTCATGAAGCCAGGAGCACAGGTGAGCACAGGTGTGAGGGACCGGCTCCCTCAGCACCGGGACACTGACCTCAGCCACCCGCACCTCTCAGCTCTGAGCACCTTCCCTCCCTGCTGTGAGCCCTCCTGCCCCACCTGTCCCTCTTCTCACAGGGTCCTGACCCGGCCGGAACCCTTGACCCCAGACCCAAGGTGAAGTCAGCACTGGGCAGGACCGAGCCCACCCTGACGGCAGAGTGTCAGGATGAGCGTCCCACACCCAGCGGAGCGGCCACCACAGGCCTCTCCTCCCAGGACACACAGAGACTTGCACTTCACACCTCTAGGAACTGTTCCTCCTGGGACACCCAGGTCCTGACAGCCTGTCCCTGGAAGCTGTGGCCAAGCTAGAGCCCCACGGAGACAGAAGGGGGAGGTCCTTCTCTCCACCCATCACCCACTTGACCCCTTCTCGTTCCAGAGTCATCTCTGTGACCTTCCTGCTGGGAGGAAATCCAACCTTCCGGAGCATCTGAGAACATGGGGAAGACCCGGTGCCCAGCTGGGTTTCTGTGTCACAAACAGAAATAACTCCCAGGTTTGGGGACCCCAGGGGCTCTCTGTGTTGTGCTGAGAGACCCAAGAGCAGGTCACAGCAGAGGCCAATACTGGGGTGGGTGAGTGTCATTTTCTGAAGAGAAAGGGACCCCATCAGCCTTGCCAACGAAAGTGCTTCACAGGCGAGTAGGAGCAGGGTCCCCGGAGAGCTCGTGAGATGCAGTCCCCGGTGCACTGCACCCTGCAGGGCCAGGATCTGCACAGCAAGATCTGCAGCCCTCCCTGTGCACAGGGGCGGGGAGGGGGGCTGCCCCACCCCCACATCACGGGTCTCAGCCTGGCATCCACGTTAGCTGAGCAGCTGCTGAAGCAGCATTTATAAGGTGTCACCTGGCCATCACAAGCCTTACAAATTGTCACAGGTGATTCCAATACACAGCAGGTGACATCCCTGGGATAAGTTTTCCTGATGTATCTCTAGAACTCCTGCCCTGAAGGGAAAAGCCAGATTGGAGATGACAGGAAACTGTGGGGAACACCCTGAACCTGGACGCTCCAGGCTTGTGCTTGATCAAACAGGGTGTGTGTGTGTGTGTGTGTGTGTGTCTGTGTGTGTGTGTGTGGTGAAGAGGCCTCAGGCCTCAGTGTTTGTATAGACTGAAGGTAAATTCGGAGGAGGGGGCAAAAAAAGAAGGAATGAGGGGAGGGAGTGTTCTGGGCACAGAGCCCGCCCCCAGCCTCCCTGACCAGTTAGGTGCTCCTGCTCCTGGAGGAGGCTCAACACACAGAGAGGAGGGACATCAGATCCCGCATGTCGGGACAGCAGTGTGTGAACTTGTCAGGAGCCCAAGCTCTTCTCCCAGAGGGAGGGACAGAGCAGGCAGCAGACACCATGGAGTCTCCCTCAGTCCCTACCCACAGAGGACCTGTCTCCTGGCAGGAGCTCCTGCTGGCTGGTGAGGAGATGATCCCTGGGGGTGGACAGGAATTGGGGAGACAGAGACTTGCTGGGGTATCCTGGGAAGGACAGTGCTCTGAGAGGGGACAGAGGGCTCCGTCTTGGACTTGATGGGAGAGGAAAGGGGAGCAGGATAGAAGAGGGGAGGGGCGCAGAAACAGGAAAACCCCATCATCTGGAAGTGCTGAGGGGCAGGAAAACCTCGATTATGGTAAGTTTTAAAAGTTATTCATCACTGAAATAATTTCTGAAAACTGATGATGATAAAATGACAATTTATGTCTCTGGGACTCCAGAAATACTTAACCAGGGCGATAAACATTGTCCTTCCCACCAGCCTCAGACATGGGACATACTCCCAGGAGGTGCAGGACTGGGAACATCACTCATTCACCCACAGGGGTTTGCCGCTGTTGCAGGCCCTGGGGGACAGGATCTGACAAGGCCTTGCCCACATGGAGCTCACGTTCTGTGGGGAGGAGACAGACAAGGAGGGATCTAGATGGGGTGGCAGGTACACACAGTGCCATGAAGGGGACAGAGCAGGGACAGGGGAGAAAGTGGAGACAGAGGGTCTTTAGAGGAGGTGGTCAGGGAAGGTGTCTCCCAAGGGCTCCCCTGAGTGTCAGCAGGGGTCTGAGGGCTGTGAGGGGTGAGCCTGGCAGACCCCTAGAGAACAGTATTTGAAACAGAAAAAATAATAGGTTCAGAGGTGCTGAAGTCATGGTGGCCATGCTGCTGACCTTAACCATAGGAGACACACACACAAACTCTCTCTCTCTCTCTCTCACACACGCACACACACACACACACACACACATGCTCTCACACTGGGGCTGAGAGATAGAGATCTGCTCAGAACAAGGGACCTCATATCTCCTTCCCAATACATAGATCCAAATATTGATCAATTTCTCTATTTCCTCCTAGGCTCACTCTTAATTTTCTGGAGCCCGCCCATCACTCAACAACTCACTGTTGTGTCGATCGATGCTACTGAAGGGGAGGATGTGCTTCTCCGGGTCCACAATCTGCCTGGGGATCTTGCAGGCTATAACTGGTTCAAAGGGGAATGTGTGGACAGCAACCATGAAATTGCATCATATGTAATGGATGCTCAAGAAATTACCTGTGGGCCTGCAAACAGTGGTCGAGAGACAATATACCCCAATGGATCCCTGCTGTTCCAGAAGGTCACCCAGGAGGACATGGGATACTACACACTACAAGCCATAAAAAGAAATTTTCAGAGTGAAAAAGGAACTGGTCGGCTCCGAGTATACCGTGAGTGACTGCTCTCTGACCTCTGGTGTGGGGTGGGGTGGACTCCACTTCACACGCAGGACTGACGGCCCTGGACTCCGCCTCCATCCCCTCTGCACCACGTCCCAGGTTGGGTTTGGGCATTTAGTGCAGGACACGCACAGTGGAGACAAACTTCCTAAGATCAGAGATTCCTTCCCTGCAGACATTCCCTGCAGAGAGAGGGACCAGTCTGATGAGAATAACTCGGCAGAGGGAGACCAATCGCAGTCCAGCACCCTGGGTCCCTCCCCAAGACCATGACATTGAGAACAGCCCTGCAGGGCTCTGTCAGGGCCTTATCTGATGGGTCCCCTGGAATCCTCACAGAGAAGCTCAACCCATCATCCCATCCCCAGACCTCTGTCCTAGGGCTCTGGATTCCAGGGACCCAGGGGACCCATGTCAGGTTGGGCTTGGCTTCTCGGATAAGCCTCACTGGGAGCAACAATTTCCCAGGTACCCAAGTTACAGGGTAATGTTCTCTCTGTTCCCTGCACAGAGAAGTTACTCACACCCAACATCACAACCAACAACTCCAACCCCGAGGAGAACAAGGACCCTGTCGTGTTAACGTGTGAACCTTGGACTCAGGACACCACCTACCTGTGGCTGATCAACAGTCAGAGTCTCCCAGACAGCACCAGGCTGCAGCTGTCCAGCGACAACAGGACTCTCACTTTACTCCATGTCACAAGGAATGACACGGGACCCTATGTGTGTGAATCCCGGAACCCAGTGAGTGCCGGCCGCAGTGACCCATTCACCCTGAATGTTCTCTGTGAGTAACTTCAGTCCCTGCCTGGGACAGGCTGCCCGCCCAAATCCACACTTCCAGAGGCCAGGCTACATCCGTCCCTCTCGGTCCAAGCACACAGACCCTCACTCCCAACACCCAGGGTGGCCATGACTTCTGTCCCAGGCAAATCCGGACAGGCCTCAGGGTTGGGACAAACAGGTTAATGTCTCGGACTCAGGCTCAGTGAACACAGGGGTTATGGTTGGGACATTTTAAACAAGGCTGGGACCTAGCGCAGAGGGACAGTGTGGCCCTTACACAGACCAGGAGCTTCCCCTTCTCTCTGGTTACATCATGTGTGGCTTTGTTCCTTTTGCTCCAGATGGCCCGGATGCACCCGTCATTTCCCCCCCAGACTCCCACTACCCTCCAGGGGCAAACCTCCACCTCTCCTGCCATGCAGCCTCTAACCCGCCCGCACAGTATTCCTGGTCTATCAGTGGGAGCCCCCCGCAACCCACACAGAAGCTCTTTATCCCCAACATCACTGCGAATGATAGTGGATCCTATACCTGCCTCGCCCATAACCCTCACACTGGCCTCAGTAGGACCGCGGTCAAGAATATCACAGTCTCTGGTAAGTGCCTCCTGGACCATCGGCACCAAGCTCTGGGGTACAGATCTGTCTGGTTCTCAGCAAAGAGCCTAGAAGATGTTATCTCCCATCCTGTGGCCATGGACACAAGCAAATCACCAACGCTTCCCCTGAACCCTCCCCTGCCCCTCTGTAGACTCCCTCCCCTTGCTCTCCTGATTTCTCATGGCAGAGCTGGGGTCCAGCCTTGGAAAGTGGGGAGGGGGTCTCTCAGCCCCAGAAAGCCCCAAGTAGTGGAGGGGGCTTCACAGAGAGGGAAAAACAAGGGTGCTCAAGGTCAGGTTACTTCTTCTGTCACCAACACATTCCTTCTGTGACCAACACATTCCTTCTGTCACCAATTTCTTCTCTGTTACCTACTCCACGTGCTACAAGAAACATACAAGGCTTTGAATCAAACTCACCTCTTTTTCCCCAAACAAAAGGATGAAACCACCTCCGAGGGGTGAGCAGCACAGACCCCTGCTCTCTGCTCTGCTCCAGGCTCACCTGGTGACTGACTCTGCTCTGTGACATCTTGGTGGGACAGGGCTCTGTGGAGAAGTTGCATGGGTGGCCTGTCCCCAATCTGGCCAAACTGTGTCACTCACTGACACCAGAGCCTCCCTCGGACCAGGCTGCGTGGAAGTGGGAAGAGAGCGAACCGTAGGGCAGACCCTTCTGAGCCGTGTGTGTCTTGGCTCAGAAGTCACCAGCTGTACAACGCTGTGCGACACCAGCGTGTATGATATTCCAAAGGAGAGCAGTGAACGGTGGTGCACACTTGACAAATAGGTAGGTTCGTCCATGAAGTCCCTTCATGGGACAGAAGCTGCAGTGCCACAAAGGTTGTAGATTACGGAGGAGGCCGAGTACCAGCCTTGTGTTAAAACTGTGAGCCCTTCTCTTAGAGATTCCCTTCTCTGTGATGTTCAACCCGCAGGCCGGGAAGTGAAAGTGCTGTTCAGATAGAGAAACCCTTTTCTGAAAAAATAGGTTTGTTTGTTTTTGTTATCCTCACCCGAGGACATTTTCACATTTATCTTCAGATAGAGAGGGAGAAAGAGAGAGAAACATCGATGTGAGAGACACATCAACTGGCTGCCACCCACACGACCCCAACTGGGGCTGGGGACAAACCAACTGAGGTACGTGCCCTTAGTGGGAACCAAACCCAGGTCTCTCTGGTCCGCAGGCCGACGCTCTAACTGCTGAGCCAAAATGGCCAGAGCTAAATATGTTGTTATTGATTTCTTTTTTTTTTAAGAGTAAGAGGAAAGGGGAGAGAGAAACATTGATGTGATCGGCTGCCTCCTGCTCACCCCCCACCGGGGACAGAGCCACAACCTTATAGATTGGAACTTCTGCAGGTCCTACAGTCATGGCCAGGCCATTCTTATTCTCTAATAAATTATTTAGCAAAAAGGAAACATCTTTCCTTCTCTATGTAAAGCTACTGTACTAGAGAAGGTATCTGGCCCTGGCCGGTTTGGCTCAGCGGTTGGAGTGTCTGCCTGCGGTCCGGAGAGACCCTGGTTCGGTTCCCACTAAGGGCATGTACCTCGGTTGCAGTTTGTCCCCGGCCCTGGTTGGTCGTGCGGGTGGCAGCCACTCGATGTGTCCCTTTCACATCGATGTTTCCCTCTCTCTCTTCCTCTCTCTCCCTCCCACTCTAGCTGTACAAAAAAAAAAAAAAAAAAAAAAAGAAGGTATCTGATCTTTGGAAGATCACAGAGAGCTCTAGAAAACTGACCCCCTCTGGCTGGACCTTCAATATAAGTGACCCCTTGCCCCATCCGACATCTCCCTGGGACGACTGCTCTTCCAATGGTGCAAGGAATGGACAGAAGTCACAGGGGGCAGAATGTCAGTCAGGAGACATTACAGTAAACAGAATGGCAAAGTGGCTAAGAGCTCTCTGAACCAGGTATACTTAGTTTCTTATCCTGGGTCTGGCTTTTACTGTGTGACATTGAACACGATTCTTTTTCTTCCTATTACAATTTTTAATGTGGTAAAATACGCATAAGATTTGCCTTTTTAAGGCTGAATAATATTTCCTTGTATGTATACATAGCATTTTGTTTCTCATTCGTCCATCCATGAACTTCTGGGCTGTTTCTACCATTTGGCTATTGTGAATTATGCTGCAATGATCATGGGTAAACAAATCAATATCTGTTGAAATCTCTGCTTTTAATTCTTTGGTGTATATACACAAAAGTTAAATTCTGGATCAAATGGTAAGTCTTTGTTCAACTTTTTGATGAACTGCCACAACATTGTCCCCAGTGGCTGCACCATTTACATTCCCACCAGCAGTGCACAAAACTTCCAATTTCTTCACTACTTGTAGAGACCTTGTTGTTTTCTGAGTTTGTTTGTTTTATATAATAGCCATCCTAATGGGTGTGAGATGGTGTTTCATTGTGATTTTGACTTGTATTTCCTTAATGGTTAGTGATGTTGAGCATCTTTTCATGTGCCTATTGGCCATTTATTTAATCTTCTTTGGAGAAAAGTCTATTTGAGTCCTTTGCCCATTTGTTTTGTTTTGTTTTTTATTCTGTTGTTGTTGTCATTGTTGAGTTGTAGTCATTTATATATTCTGGATATTAATCTGTTATCAGATATCTGATTTATAACTATTTGCTCCCACTCTCTGGGTTGCCTTTTCACTTTGTTGACAGTGTCCTTTGATGCACAAAGGTTTTTAATTTTGGTGAAGTCCAGTGTATCAGTTTTTTGCTTTTGTTGCTTGTGGATTTGGTATCATATCCAAGAAATCATTGCCTAATTCACCCCATGTTTCCATCTAAGAGTTTTTGTAGTTTTAGCTCTTACGTTTAGGTCTTTGATCACGCTGTTAAGTAAGGGTTCAATTTCATTCTTTTGCATAGATTCCCAGTTTTCCCAATACCATTTGTTCAAAAGATTGTCTTTTCTCCAATGAGTGGTGTTTTGGCACCTCTGTCAAAATGTTTTACTGAGTCATCTCCTTACTATTTATAGGTCTACTTATATTTTCTAGTTCTTTGAGATTTCATATCGGTAGGTTTGTTGTTTCTAGGAATCTGTCCATTTCATCAGGTTATCCAATCTGTTGCATACAATTATTCCTAATACTTTTACATTTCTCATTATTTCTGTAGAATTTATGGTAACTTCCCCACTTTCATTTCTGACTTTGGTAATTTAAATCTTCTTTTTTTTTTTAATCAATCTAGTTAAGGTTCATCAATTTTGTCAATCTAATTTTTGAGGAACCAATTTTAGGTTTTGTTGATTTTCTCTATTGTTTTTCCAGTCTCCATTTTCTTTATGTCCACTCTAATCTTTATTATTTCATTCCTCCTGCTAGCTTTCAGTTTAATTTGTTCTTCTTTCTTTAGTTCCTTATGTTGTAGAGTTAGGTTGCTCTTAGAGATTTTTTTTTCCTTTTTAATGTATTTTACAAGTACAAATTTCTTGCAAAAGATTCTTAACTTCTCTGAGCCTCATATTCCACAACTGAAAAACACAATAACAGCTTCATGCCCTGACCAGCCTGACTCAGTGGTTAGAGTGTCAGCCCACGGATTGAAGGGTGGCAGGTGCGATTCCCAGGCAAGGGCACAACCTGGGTTGCAGGTTTAATCGCCAGCCCCTGTCAGGGCATATGCAGGAGGCAACCAATTGATATCTCTCTCTCTCTCTCTCTCCCTCTCTGGTCTTCCTTTCCTCCCTCCTTCTCTCTACAAAAATCAATGGAAAAAATATCCTCGGGTGAGGATTAACAACAACAAAAAATACCATGCTTCATGGCATTGTTTCAAATATTTAACATAATAATCACTTAAACCCTTAGCAAATGCCACACACAGGGGAAATGTTCCATAAGTGTTAGCTGCTATTATTACCACTGTTATCACAGGCCTCTATGAAGTCAGGTGGTCCTGGAGTCAAAGCCCAGATCCACCGCTTACTAATCATAAGATTTTGGGTAATTTTTTACCACCCCAAGCCTCAATTTTTTCATTGGTAAAATGAAAATAATGTCTATCTGACAGGGTTATTATATTAATCAAATGAGATATAAGTATTAAGCACAGAGCCTGGCACATAGTAAGTACCCCATAACAGTAGCTAATATTAATATTAATCAAGCTTGAATTGACTAGTGAATAAAATAAAGAAATTAAAAAGTAGAAACAGATGCAAAATGTATTATTTCTAGAGGGCAGAGGGCGTGACACACAAAAATCATCAGGACATGGCTACGGACTAAATATAGGAAAAGAAAAAATGGAATTGATTGCAACATTTCAAGCCTACATTTTTGTTTTCACCCCTTGAGATGCAGCCAAGATGGGACTAGACATACAAAGTATTTATTGGAAAAAACGCCTGTAAAGGAAAGTGGGCCCTGGCCAGTTTGGCTCAGCGGTTAGAGCGTCGGCCTGCGGTCCAGAGAGACCCGGGTTTAGTTCCCGCTAAGGGCATGTACCTCGGTTGCAGTTTGTCCCCGGCCCTGGTCGGTCGTGCAGGTGGCAGCCACTCGATGTGTTCCTTTCACGTCGATGTTTCTCTCTCTCTCTCTGTTCCTCTCTCTCCCTCCCACTCTACCTGAACAAAAAATGGAAAAAATGTCCTCAGGTGAGGATAAAAAAATAAAAAAAAGAGGAAAGTGGATGGAAGTGGGAGGAGTCTGGAGATTCCTCAGACCACGATGCAGATCTGATTACGGGAAGAGAGAGAAGGCAGTTTTCAGTTGCAGTCTGTTTCTAAGGTTGATGGGGAGTCCTTGAGATCAAGTCACCCATCAGAAGAACCATTTCTCAGAGGACTGGGCTTATTTTATCCCTGCTGGGAGCCTGTGGGAAGCCAGGTCCCTGTGCAAAGGAGGTGGTGCATTCACCACAGGAGACCTGAGTGGCACATATTCATGGCTGCCCCACCTGGTACAGAGAAAAACACGCAACCATGATATGGTGAAAACATAACTTACTAAATGGCAATGAGCCCCTCTCACATTTCCAAAGCTCCAAAAATATCTGAGTGCAGAAAGGCGAGAATGGAATTGGGGCAAGTCTGACCACCAACCTAGAAATAGTGAGAGAGAAAAATTACAAGCATATGGTCAGGTAATTACCTCCCAGCAACCTTCCCACAGAAATGTATTCCTTGGAGGAACAAGCCGAGACTACTTCATGTTGGGAGTCATTGCCCAGGGCAGCCCCACTGTAAAATGTCACCAGCTTCATTCATGCTTCTCTTTTCTCTCCTTGACAGTTGTTTCAGCATCACAGCATCCTGGCCTCTCAGATGGGGCTATTGCCGGCATCGTGATTGGAGTGCTGGCCGGCATAGCTCTGATAGCAGCCCTGGTGTACTTTCTGTACATCAGAAAGACTGGAGGGTATGATGGCCTTTGCTCTTGTCCCGCTTCCTCCAAGGCTAACCACCATGCTTGGGAGAGGGGAGACTTCCCCTCAGTCTCTGGGCCTGGACCTGCTCCTCCTCCTTCCTCAACCCCTGCTTCTGGGCTCTGATTCCTGCAGCCTCTCTTCAAGCTTCCTGTACCCCACTCTCTCTGTAACATAGTTATTCCCATCCCCAACTGGTTTAGTGGGGGCAGCACTGATTATGTTCCTGGGTCCCCCAGTCAGGGAGGCCAAGCCCAAGAAGGAAAACTAATGAGGAAATGCCAACAGGAGCAGGAGAAAGTGAGTCACTGTGCTCTGCCAACCACAGGAAGAGGAGAAGAGAGGGCAGGACAGGAAGAGAACCTAAGAAAAAGCAGAAACCAGTGAGAATAACAGCAGCATCCACAGAAGGGAAAGGTGTGGGGTAGAAGTGAGCTCAGACGCTGTTGATAACGAATGGGCCTCTGTGAACGGCAGGCCAGCAGGAAAGGGGCGCACACTGGAAGGGGGGTGGGTGCACTGAAGAGGAGCCCTAGGGGGACGGGCAGAACTGGCCCTGGCATAAAGGAGCATGGAGGAGCCCCAAGGAATTTCTGCTCATTGTAGCCTTCCTACTTCAAGGAGCAAAGATCCTATGCATGGGAACAGCAGTCACAGTCTCTGATATTTATTTAGGGCGAGCGACCAGCGCGATCTCACAGAGCACAAGCCCTCTGCCTCCAACCACAGTAAGTGAAGCCATCACCCAGTGAGAGCTGGTGTGTTCCACCACATGCCTGCCCTGGCAGGGAATCCTGGATTCCCAAATACTCGGCACCTTCTGAGCTCAGACGGCTCTCCATTTCCCAGCCTTAGGTTGACATGGATGTTCACACCCTTCTAGCCCAAGAGATTCCCTTGAGACCCGGCCCTGGGAGAGACTCACTCTACCAGACCAGGCAGCCCTGAGTAACATGGACACGTTTTCCGGAGTCATTCTGCCCCTACCCCTTCCCCTCCTGCCTCTAATACGGATGTGGATGCGGGCACTCTCCTTTGGTGAGACTTTCCCTGACTTGTGGTGCTCTGGGTGCTCTGGGTCTCAATGCCCCTCCTTGCCACTGGTGCCTGTTGCTGAGGAACACAACTGGGCAAAGATCAAGGCCTTGGGAGCTGCATTAATCTTCAGAAGTGGACTGAGGCCCCCTTAACTCTACTCCTGCCCCGCCCCCAACTCCGCTGGTACTAACACCCTGGGTGTGGACCACAGGCTCTGAGGGAAGCGATTCCTTAAGTGATCATGGCCACCTCTGCACCCCACCCTCCCACCACCTGCCACCTCCTTCAGGTAGAAATCACAGCAGCTTAGGAACGCCATGGCCATAAGGCCATAAGTCAGCTTTGCATTTTCATGGATTGGTAACTCTTCTTTCACTTCCCCCAAAACAGGTTCAATCTGACAACTCACCCAACAAGGTAAGCACAGCCAGTTTCACTGGGTCATTTTCTCATGGACATGTCTCTGTGTCTGATGGATTCTTCTTGAAGACTCAAATGCCATCAAGTGTGGGTCAGACTTCCTCAACGCAGCAACAAACCAAGATGTATTGGTTAACGACTCCCATGGGTCTGTCTCACGTAAAAATGTGGGCTTTAGGCCCTGGCCAAGTAGTTCGATTGATTAGAGCATCATCTGGATATGCCAAGGGTTCGATACCTGGTCAGGGCACATTCGAGAAGCAACCAATGAATGCATAAATCGGTGGAACAAATTGATGTTTCTCTGTCTTCTTCTTCTTCTTCTCCTCTATGTCAAATCAATAAATTAACAAAAAAGGAACCTGGGCTCTGGAGCTATTCCTGTCCTGTGTTTGAATCCAGATGTGACTCTTAGTAGCTCTGTGACCTTGGGCAGCTAAGTAGGCCTCTCTGATCCTCACCCTGTCATCTGTAAACAGGGCACACTGCCAACTTCAGAGAGAAGTTGAAGGAATGAAAGGAGAGACCACTGGCGGTGCGCCAGCACCGTGCCCAGCACACGGAAGGCACCGGGTCCTTCTCCCTGCTCTACCTTCGGTCTGACCCTGCTCTTCCTGTCAAAGGACAGTGTTCATTTCAATGGGTCTGAGGTCTTAGTTCCTTCACGTTATAATAATTTTACCGAGCTTCTCTCATGTAGCCTTTCCATAGGGCACATGTATGTATTGAAAAGTTCTTAAATCATGTGTAGATGTTAACAATGTATAAATTATGACAAGTTGAACATATCCTTGTGAGCAGTACTGAAATAAACAAAATCTGTCATCTCCCTAAAAAAATAAAACTGTCTAGTCATTTCCCTCCAAAGAGTAATTATATCCTGACACCCAATGCACTAGATTAGTTTTGCCTGTTTATACTCTTATATTAAAAAACATAGTGTATCCTTATATGTGTCTGGTTTCTTTCATTCAGAATGGTTTTATGAGATTCATCCATATTGTGGTATACATTTTTAGTTGTTTGTTCTCGTTGCTCTATCATCGTCTTCCACGGTGTGAATACCATAATCTATCTCTTCTAATGCTCACTCAAAGGATGTCAGCGAGCAGAGATAATGGGTAATAAAAGCCTTTCTCCAAAGCTAGAATTTTCAAGGTGAGAGCAGGTGGTGCCAAATCACACCAGACAAGTGAGGGCCTGACCTATGACACTGACTTAATTGACCACTGCTCGTGCCTTTCAGATCAATGAAGTTACATATTCTTCCCTGAACTTCAATGTCCAGGAATCACAGAAACCAACTTCAGCCTCCCCGTCCCCGACAGAAACGGTTTATTCAGAAGTCAAAAAGAAGTAATGCCGCCCTCCCTGCTCACCGCACTGCAGAGGATCCCAAGCTTCTCATCTCCATCACCAGGAGCCCCCTTTGTCCTCCGGGAAAAGGAGAAGAAGCCTTTAGGAAGCCCAATCTTCCTTGTCACTGAACTTTGGCTCATTCTTGTACTAGAATCAACAAAGTCTAGAGATGGTTCTTTAAAAAGCAAACTTCTGGCGGGATTATTAAGAAACAGTGAGCCCTGGCCAGTTTGGCTCAGCGGTTAGAGCATTGGCCTGCGGACCAGAGAGTCCCGGGTTCGGTTTCCACTAAGGGCACGTACCTTGGTTGCAGTTTGTCCCCGGCCCTGGTTGGGGTCGTGTGGGTGGCAACAGTCCATGTGTTTCTCGCACATCGATGTTTCTCTCTCTTGCTTTTCCCCTCTCTCCCTCCCACTCTATCTGAAGATCAATGCAAAAATGTCCTCGAGTGAGGATAAAATAAATAAAGAAAAGAAAAAAAGAAAAGAAAAAATGAGAATGGGCACAATACTAAACACTGAAAATTCAGTGTAATTTTATCTTTATGAGGTTCCAAAAGACTTAGGGTACAGCATGTGGTTGAAAGATAATAAAGGAAGGAAACTATTTTGAGTGCGGCTGCTGGGGGTGGCAGGCTGGGAGCGGGCTGGGTGGGAGCACACAGGGCCCATGGGGAACTGGCTCTCTTCGCCTCACAGTGGGTGAAGACACATAGTGCGTTTGTTAAAACTGTTGCTCTCCATGCCCTGTGCAGGTGTTATAATTCTTTTGAATATGTTCAATATGAAATATGAAAACAAAAATAGTTTTGCATTTTTTTGTGTCTGTCCTGCTTTTTTAAAAATCCTCACCTAAGAATATGTTTATTGATTTTAGAGAAAGAGCAAGAGAGACACATCAATGTGATAGAGAAACATCAAGCGATTGTCTCCTGTAGGTGCCCCAACCAGGGATTGAATCCAAAACCTAGGTATGTGCCTTGACCTGGAATTGAACCCACAACTTTTTGGTGTATGGGATAATGCTCCAAGCAACTGAGCCGTCAGGCCAGGCATCACTCCTTCTTTTATTTTGGGGGGGGGGGGGTGGTACGTGCACCTAGCCGCTAGGGCCTAGTGGGAACTGAACCTGGGACTCACTGGTCCGCAGGCCAATGCTCCAACTGTTGAGCCAAACAGGCCAGGGCCCCTCCTCCTTTTTATTTTATTTTTTTTTATCCTCACCCGAGGATATTTTTTCCATTTTTTGTACAGATAGAGTGGGAGGGAGAGAGAGGAAGGGAGAGAGAGAGAGAAACATCGACGTGAAGGGACACATCGAGTGGCTGCCACCCGCACGACCAACCAGGGCCGGGGACAAACTGCAACCGAAGTACGTGCCCTTAGCGGGAACTGAACCCAGGTCTCTCTGTACCGCAGGCCGACGCTCCAACCGCTGAGCCAAACTGGCCAGGGCCACTCCTCCTTTTTAAGAAGAAAAAAAAAAGCTCCAGTATAGACATAGAAGCACAGAGTGACCTTTACCATATGCCCTTGATAACCAACTGAGTCCTTAATAAATATGGAACAATCCTTAATACAACAAAAAAAGGGGGCAATGAAGAAGAAAACCAGGCACCCACATGAGGACGTCGAGTGTAGCAGAATGCAGAACAAATGAATGATGGACAAGTATAGAAGAAAACCTTTAAACATCCTAAGGACTTTTTAGGTTTCAGGAAGATTGCTGGATGAACTCCCATGAAAAGATGCAGTCAGAACAACAAAGAGTTCCCAGAATTAAAAATGTACACGGAAAAATTCAGTGTCATTGCTGAATAACCGGAAAGTAATTGCTCAAAGAGCAATCAAATGATCTGGAAGATACACTTGAGGGGAAAGACAGATGGGGAGAGAGAGTAGCGCTGGGATAGAAGCACGTTTACGCGAAGTTCAGCGGGGTCTCTGCTCTGATGTGTTACTTCTGTGGACTCATCTAGCCTCAGACAGCACTACAAGGAGTGTATGCTTCCCCTTCCAGTTATGAGGAGAGTCATAGGATTTTAGTTCATGAATTAGGGTTGAATTTAATCAAATAATTTTACCAAATCTGTTGAGAGCAATATTTTTCTACTTTAGTCTGTTGACATGAAGAAATACATGCTGATAATAAAACACACTTGCATTCCTGATTTTTTTTTTTTTTTAAAAACCCTACTTGGTCATGATAATTTTTTTTATTAAAATTTTGTAATGTTGACATGACTGCGGACTTCCCCCAGGTCAGGATAATTTTTTATTTGTTTTTTTAATTCTGAATTTGATTCACTACTATTTACTTTGATTCTGTAGGTATTCATCCATGATTTTCTTCTCTGGTTTTGGTGTCAGCTATACTTACCTCATAAAATGAGTTAGAAAATGTTCTCTTTTTAAACCTTTGAATTCTATGAGAGTTTGCTGAGGATGATCTTTAATTGAAGATCTGTTAGAACTCACCCAAGAGGACCCCAGGACCTGGCATTGTTGTGTTGGCAGGGGGAAATTTCTGGCTCTCACTTGAATTTCTTTAATGATTAATGCTCTATTCATATTACCTTTTTTTTTTCTTGAGTCAGTTTTAGTGGTTGACATTTATCTAGATAACTGTCCATTTAATCTAAGTTTTAAGAAATATTGGCAAAGCTTTCATGGGTGTCTTTAATAAAGTATAAAATCTCTCTTGTCCCTGATATGTACTCTTTAAATTTATATCAATATATTAATTCATCCCTTTCTCTCTCTCTCTCTCTCTCTCTCTCTCTCTCTCAACACCATGGTTTGGAGGTAAATGGTACAGGATGGAGGGAAACACATAACAAAGATCCTCTCCTTGACCAGACTTTAACCAGGCTCCTCTAAGCCCTCTGCTCAACTAAGCCTAACCTTGGGCTTCTGTCTCTGTGCTTGTAGAGTCCAGATTTAGCAAGAATCCTGCTCAGTCAGTTTAGCCAGAATCCCCCACCCCTGATTCTAATCAGCCTCCATATCTGACCAAATTCCTCATCTCTCACCATTCCAGGTACTGGCCTGCCTCCTGTAAGAGTCCTGTTAGGTCCATTTAGCAAGAATTACTCCACCCCCTCGGTAATTTTCCATCCACTGACAGCCCATCCTGCTCTTTGGCTGTGAATCCCCACTTTTCTTTATTGATTCGGCGCTGAGCCCAATCTCTGCCCCTGCTGCACCCCAGTGCGGAGTCCCTCTGGATAAAGTGTTTCTTACCTAAAGTGTCAGAATAACGTTTTCTTTAACACATGTAAACAATTACAATATGGTTGATGAGTGCCATAGGAAATTTCATAAAAGGGGCTCTGGGGTTACAGAGGGATCCATTAATTGCATGGTAGGGTTTGTAGAGGTCCAAGAATTTGGAAACTATTGAGAAAAGTGGTAGTGCCCAGGCTTGGTGAGGAGATGAGAACAGACAGTGCTAAGCACTAAGGCCAGACTGATGCAGGGTGTTTGGGGCACTTCAATAGCGCTCAGTCACACAATGTGCATATCCCATGAGGGAGCAAACACACTTCTAGATATTACCTCACAGAAAAGCACAAGTACACCGCATTAAGTATCTCCAGTGCTTGTTGCAGCCACATCTGAATGGTCATTGATTAATGTCACTTGAGTCCCAGACACAACAAACAGCTATCGAGCATTTGCTGCTGTACAACAAGGCGTCCCATCCTCCATCCCGTGGTGGAGGTGTTGCTGCTAACCTGAACTCAAGCCTGTACATTTTAGGGTTTCGTCATGAGGACGCATTTCTGGGTCAGTTAGCACCTACATTAGTTTACAAATAGCAAACCAGCACAAGCTGACTGTTAGCTCTTGGAATTGGAAGTCTGGCTGCAAGCTGGGCTTGGGCATGATGTGGTCCAAGCAAGTCTCCCACAATCTCACTGCATCTCTCAAAAATAAAAAATAAATAAAATCAGTGGTGGGAACTGACAGTGTGGAGTGGAGAGCAGGAAGATGCAGTAAATTTTGACTGAACTCTACAAACTCTGTGTCATTTTGTTTCCGGTCCCTCCTCTATTCTCAGTGCTACGTGCACTTCATCGTATAGACATTGGTGTTGATGGTGGGTGGTTGAGGCATATGCTTGAAATTTTAGAGGCCAGTGGCCTTCAAGGACGTGACCCTGGAAGTGGCTCCTGGACCCTCCCACAGAAGCCTACACAGAGACGTGATGCTGGAGAAGTACAAGTACCTGCTCTGAGCAGGTAAGGGCAGCATCCCGCATTCTCACACAGCCCTTGTGGTGGGGTCTCGATCCCCTCAGGTGTCAGGGCTCTGGGATGTTTGAAGTGCCCATAAAGCTCACCAAGGCCCATGCTCATAACTTTGGGTCTAAAATTCAGGGACCAGGATGTCTGAAACCTCCCAAAATAAAGAGACATGCTTTTTACCACTTGGATAACGACTTTTCTTTTTAAAGTTGTAAAGGGGCCCTGACCAGGTAGTTCAGTTGGTTGGAACATAGTCCTGATGGACCAGAGTTATGGGTTCAATCTCTGGTCAGGACACATACAGGAAGCAATCAATGAATGCATGGATGGGTGCAACAAGAAGTCAATTATTTCTCTCTCTCTCTCTCTTCCCTTCCCCACTTCCTAAGTCTCTTTAAAACCAATTTTAAAATTTAATAAAACAGGACATACAAATGGCCAAGAGACATATGAAAATATGCTCAACATCACTAATCATCAGAGAGATTCAAATTAAAACAACTATGAGGTATCACCTCACACCCGTCAGAATGGCCGCCATCAACAAATCATCAAACAACAAGTGCTGGCGAGGGTGTGGAGAAAAGTGGACTCTAGTACACTGCTGGTGGGAATGCAGACTGGTGTAGCCACTATGGAAACCAATATGGTGTTTCCTCAAAAAATTAAAAATTGAACTGCCATTTGACCCAGTGATCCCGCTTCTAGAAATATACCCTAAGAAGCCTGAAACACCAATCAGAAAGAATATA